AATGCGTTTGAAGGGAAGCATGGGGGGCGCAATCCGCCAGCGTTCAGGGGCCTTCTTCATTGTGCTCGCACAACATTCGTACCGCTCTTGAATACCCATCTTCGCGTTACCTCTGTGGCGTTTATCCATGCGCAAGTCTAGCCATGAGCCTGAAAGCTTGCACATGGGAATTCGATCCTGTCAATATCTTACGGAGAGCGGAAAGGATGGTTTCGCAGCAGTGACGAGTCACTACGCGGCCACCAAGTTCTCCGGCTGACCCATCGGTGTCCTTGATCAGCGCATTGAGATTACTCTCCGCTTCGAGGCCGGGATCCTCCTATAGTCTGGCACACCTGGCCGTGTACGCGGAAAGAAAATGGACCGAAGTCCGGATAATTTTTCCCTGAGCAGTCATCGAAGCCATTGCTAATGCGTTATTGAAGTTGCGGATGGTCGTTCGAAAACTTTTGCAGTTTTGAACCACAGATTCGTCGTGTCGAAATATTCGGGGGTCCGGAGCGAGATTCCCGGTTCACCACGATACCAGCCTTCTTGACCCATCTGGCATCCGTGATTCAGCGGGTTCCTTGACTTCAGGGAAAGATGCGAACGCATCGAGCAATATGAAGCTTGCTGAATTCATGATGAAGGGCCGTCTAGGAAGGAATTCGAAAAACGTGTTTGCTCACATTGTGCTGTCATCGGGCTTTCCAAAAAAGCGACGTTCCTCGAGGAATGCCCCCCTCAATTTTCTTTTCAATTTCTTCGGACCTATCCGCCCCCAATCGACATACCGAGAAATACTAGGATGAGCCATGATTCAATAACTTAAAACTTACCTTCAATTCACGTTTTTTTGCAGCGCCGAACATCCCCCCCCCCGAAAACATGCTCCCCGCCACGATACGTCACTGAACAAGACCCTAGTGTATCTGATATACTTGCAGCGACGCGAACGAAAAAAAATATCAGGCGGCTCATTTGCTCTTCTTCGTACTGGTGTTCTAGAAATGGAGCCTGCCCAGCAGCCCTCGGTATGGAGGGTGAGTTTAATTGAACCTGAACCCTCTCTTCTGGCGAAAAGTTCTGCGTAAATCGCTCTCACCTGTGGAGAATCATAACTGTTTAGATCTAACTGCATCGTTTACTCTCAGGGCGGAGACAGCTCGCGTGTAATCGACGGTCTTCGTCGACGTCGACGTTAATAACAACGACTTAGCGACAACACCAATTCTGCTCGTCAGAGATAGGAAATATCAGTGATAGGACACATGCTTTACATCAGGTAAACTATTCACAATGGTTTCACAAAACATCTATACCTCCATGTTCACTTATCGTAGAATCATACGCGGACCGACGACGAGGCGGGAGCGAAGTGGGGGCAGCACT